TATTAAATTATTTACAGTAACTCCGTTCTCATTGGATTTTTACGGGTAAACAATTTACACACTTGAAGTAAAGGGTCATTTTTAGTGAGATTACCAAGAAATGTGCGATAATTCGTCATACAGGACAATCCCCTTGGAACCAGTACCCCCTGGTGCGTATAATGCGTAAGTACCAACATTGTTGTTGTATTTATCAAGTTTTATGGAAAGGCGGTGTAGAGAATCTTTTCAATTTCTTGGATGTAATCACATTGTCGGATATAGCACTACGGCGACCTCGATGACTGATCGCCAAGGTGATGTTAGCAGACCGTATGCTGCCGAAGATTATGCATATCAAGCTTATATCTCCTCAACAAGTGAACCGACAACTACTTCCGATGGAAATGGATACCCTGGCCCTTCTTACGGGTATTACGCAACTCTGTCAAAGTATGCCCCTGAAGAGCCCGCCTTGTTTAGTGGTGATTCATTCTCTGGTACGATGCATTTTCTCACGCTTGATGCATGCTGTCTTTTAGGGAAATGATTTCAGGCTATGCACCAGCTCCGCCAACAGTTCATGTACCTTATTCAGTGCCCACGGAGACGACTTATACCGTAGGAAATCAACAATCACATGGCGATGTGGATATGCGTGAAAATAACGCCGTGCTGTGTGCGACCAAAACCGATTCTTCATCTTCTCAATTGGTAATATTGAGAAATACTTTTACTAGGTGGAAACAGAATCAGAACGGACTGCTATGAAGTTTATTGATTGGAGGTATCCTTGTCCATCAAACATGTTTGTCGAAGGTCCGGTGTCAGGAACTGTACTGTATTAGAAATGGTCACATCCTTAGGATTGCTCCCGGCTCTCCAGCAGGTCGCAGAGCAGCATGGATGAAGATTCAAACGATGGAATGAAGAACTCTACTGCCAAAAAGATAAAGTCTCTCCCTTTACCGAAGGTTAGTCTTCGAAAGGATTTCTATGTATGAAATGCCTGCCGAGAATCCCTTACTCTTTCAGGTTGGTCTACCTCCGCGGCAACCCAAATCAAAATCCGAACAGTTTAAGGAATATGTTGGAGAAGTAGCGAGACTTAACGAGGAAATCGAACGGTTGCAAAAATTACAGGAGCAGGTGAAGTATATTTGTAAAGCCTTGCTATGTACATTTGAAAAGTTTATTGTTGCCGCTAGGCCAGTGACCGAAATTTGCTCAGTGCGCCGTAATTCATTGGTTCATAGCAGTCTTAATCCAAGAGGGTGTTCGGGTCTATTGTTAGCACGACTCAAGGAACAGTCTTCAAACTAACCAACATTTTATGCGCACTGTTATAAGTGCAATACATAAATAGATAAAATAAACATCAACATCAAGCCAATTGTTTTGCAGCTTCGTCAAGAGGCTAAGAAGATTGCAAGAACAGCCGCTGATGATGACCTCCCTCACGAGGAATTGTTGGACAAAAGCACTTCTTTGCTCGATGGTACAGAAAGCAAAAGCACCCACAAGGTTGATTACAGTTCTTTGTTTATTGGTATTGTAAAAATCTTCCTCAATCATGATCGTATTTCTTCTCTCCTCCTTTTCTTGGATTTACGTAGGAGCCATGCTCCACTTAATAGTTATGAAATATCTGTTGAGTAGTTCTACTCGCTTTGGATCATTTGAGGTTTTCCAAAAAGGATAAGGGCTGGTTTGCTCTCATAATCCCTTTCACTTATTTTTTTCGGACACAAACATGATTTGTGGACCGAGCAGTCGACCATCATATACTTTAGAAATCATCTGCACGAGAAGTGCCTGCAGTTGCCGAATATATTCCTACCCCATTGGCGGAGTTGGAAAGAATGAAGCGGGAGGAAAAAAAGAAAAAGAAGAGAAAGGAAAAAGAATACGAGCCGTCATTTGAAGAAGTAAAAGAGAAAGTGAAAGCTGGGCCGAGCAAGCGACGACTACTGAGCGAAGACGAGATCTCCACGCTATTCGAGGTAATTCTTTTAAGGAACTACTGCCTCTTCGGCGATGGTGTCCTTTTCTACGTGTGGATCCGAAATACGGTGAATCGTGTGATTGTAATTTTAGTGTAACGTTCTTCTAATCTTATTTCCTATATGCGACCGGATCCTTTATAAGCTTGGATACGCGTCTGTTTATTGAGCGCCATGCCCGATCCTATAGCGCACTCTAAACCGTGGGAACATGCTAAGCGCTTAAGACTGTCCCTTCTTATTGATGAAAACAAGCCACTTCAGTGGTATCACATTAAAGCGCACTTACTCGTAACTCGGTGCTGGGGTGACCGGTCTTTTAGTTCTATACCTGTTGCGATAGACACATGCCTCCTGTTTCAGGATAAACCAGAGCCTAAGCGGAAGAAGGTGAAGGAGGCAATTCCTTCTAGTACCAAGGTAGGATCATAACGCTTGGAGTTTCTAAACGTTTTTTACTCATCAAGTTTTTCTAGCAGCTGCTATACTTGTATGTTTCCTGTTCAGAAAGAACGGAGCCATGCCAGAAGAGACAGTATTTCACCTTCTAAATCTCCCGACGTACCAGCGAAATTAGAACCCCCACCAAAGTTATCGAAAAAGGAAGAGAAGAGCAAATCAGTAAAGGTTCCGGAGGTCGCTGAAGCCTCATCGTCGACGATCTCAGACTCAGCTGACGACGTAAAAGAGACAAGTCCGGAGTTAGTGGGAGCTACAAAAAAACGAATCGCTAGAGAGGGGGTGAGCTATAATATTTTTTTTTCCAACATCAACGAGCGTTTAGTGATCGTTTTCTACATATAAGACAGAATTGTTGTTGGTAGAACAAACCATATTTGAATGTCATGTGAACTGTTATGAGCTATAGGTATGATGTTGGGACAACGCTAGAAATTATAAAAGTTAAAGTTGAAGTTTTTGGCGTTAATCGATCCCGGCCGGGGGATTGCGCTCCCGCACTCGACTTCATAGAAATTATTAGAGACCATTATTTGATTTTGAAGTTGTACGTGTTCCCATTAACATTGACCTTTGCCTTCTTATGAGTTGATTCTTCTGTGGGCCCTGTCCTGCTCTTTGACTGGCATCTTTACTCTTGTTGGTGTCCAGAAACGCAGGTGATCAGCGTTCTGTGATTCAAATACTCTGTAAGTGCAGTAGAATATGGCTCTGAACCGAGTGTCCTCTTCGCCGCGGTGTGACAACTGTATTGTTAGAGATTTTTTGTGTTTGAACAGCAGATTGTCCTACGAGAGTTGCGAAACGGCACATACGACTGGCCCTTGTTGTAACATCATTTAAAAAAGGATTGGTAGAGAGATTTCTTCTCAAGTGGGGGAGATTTCGTAACTCTCGGGTTTCATTAGATGATGCGCAGGCCAAAAAGACGACAAATATGCATAGGTCCCCGAGTATTTACCGCTAAGGGTTTGATTAAAGGCGTATTGTCATGAATTCCAAT